TTTTTTTTTTGATTGACCTCAGACAAACAACGTTATTGTTAACAATAAAAGATATGAAAGTAATTTGACATCGATTATGTCCGCTCTTTATTGCTTATTTTTTTGATTTACTTTACAATGGGTTGTAAAAATTTAACGCAGTAGGCTGTTTCGTGTTTCGTTCTGCCTCGTGTTTGCGTTTATTTATTAATTAGATGAAATTGTTTTCGATGATGCAACGAGCGCGCACACTTCCGCTCTGTATGTACTAAATTTATATTTTCGGAGATAGCGAAAGAAACGCGCAACAATAATATTTACAAACGATGATGCGTTTGTCAAAAAAAAAAAAAAAAACAATTGCGATAATGCAATTCGACCATCAATAATAATTGTCTTTTGTTTTTCTTGAATATATTGGCGATTTCTAGTAGTGCGTTGGGAAATGTTGTTACGTAAATTAAGAAGGCGTTGCATAAATTTCAATGATCTGTGCATTATGTGCAGAGATAGTGTTTAATAATTTGCATGCTCATGGTAGAAATTGTGATATCTAGTGTGTCGTGTAAATAATAAACGAAGAATGGAAAAGCTGTTGTTGTAATGATGGATGATGGTGATGGTAAAATGCGTTTAAATCTGTCTGGATAAACCGGTTTTTATTTTAGGTCTATGAACTGTGCAATTGGTTTGAATTGGCACGAAGATGAAGAAGAAGTAGCAAAAGGGAACGAAAAAAATATGGGTGGCTTTGTAAAAGAGGACTCGTACAATCTATCAAGTTATCAGCGGTGCGCCGATGCGGTCCGATCCGAAGCCGAGGTGAGGCCTATAAATCTGGAGGGATCGCCTTTCCTTGCATCAAGAAGCAGTGGGTAGTAGCAGGTCACAGCCGCCGTTGTCTGTCTCTCTGCTTATTGACTTTGCTTCAATTACTATCAATTATTTAGTTTAAATTCAGTAACTTTCCAATAACAGTATGGGTGGAAGCAACAGCGTTCTAAACTTTGGTGCCGGACCGGCGAAGCTGCCACGAGAGGTAAGCGGTTTTTCTCTTTCGCTGCGAAACGTTCTTACGAATGGTGATTGCAGGTGCTGTTGGAGGTGCAGGGAGAGTTGCTCAACTACCAGAACATGGGTATGAGCATCATGGAGATGTCGCATCGCTCTCCCGAGTATTCGAAGATCAACGCAGATGCGCAGAAGGCCGTCAGGGAGTTGATGTAATTATACGAAGAATTTCGTCCGATTTACCTGCTTTAACCGGTTTTTTTTTTGTTTGTTTTTGCTTTCAGGAACGTTCCGGATAATTACAGGGTGCTCTTCATTCAGGGTGGAGGTACAGGGGCTTTCGCGGCCGTAGCAATGAACCTGCTGAACCGCACCGGAAGTGCGGACTACCTGGTGACCGGAACCTGGTCGAGGAAGGCGGCCAAGGAGGCCCGCAAATACGGAAACGTCAAGTTGGTGTTTCCGGAACCGGAACTGGGCACCATCCCCGATCAGTCAACGTGGACCTTCGACCCGGAAGCCTCGTACGTTTATTACTGCGCGAACGAGACCGTCGACGGCGTCGAGTTCGGATTTATACCGGAAACGCACGACGTCCCATTGATAGCGGACATGTCTTCGAGCATCATGACCAAGGAAATCGACGTGAAAAAGTTCGGCGTGATCATAGCGGGCGCCCAAAAGAATATCGGCCCTGCGGGCGTCACCGTCATCATCGTAAGGGACGACCTGTTAGGCAACCCAATGACCATCTGCCCTTCGATTTTAGATTTCACGCACATATCGAAAGAGAATTCCGTGCACAACACACCGGCGACTTTCTCGTAAATACGAATCTAATCATAACACGATTGGAATCGATTGATTTGATTAAAATATGATTTCAGGGTATACGTGATGAACAAAGTGTTCGATTGGATCAAACGCAACGGAGGCGTCAAAGAGATGGAGAAGCAGGCAAACGAGAAGAGCAAACTCCTGTACGACACCATAGACAACTCTGACGGATTCTACTATTGCCCGATCTCGGAGGAGTGCAGGAGTCGCATGAACGTGCCCTTCCGCGTCGGCTTCAACAAGGGCAACGTCGCTTTAGAGGCGGAGTTCCTGGACCACGCCCTCAAGTACAACATGCACCAATTGAAGGGCCACAGAAGCGTGGGCGGGATGAGAGCGTCACTCTACAACGCGGTGACGCTCGAAGACGTCCAGGCGCTCGTCAAGTACATGAAGGAGTTCCAGAAGGAGAAGGCCGCCCTGTAATCAATCAATCAATCAAGCAATCATTACACGCATATATCCATCAAGTATTTATAATATCTGTATTTATTTATTCTAATAAAATTGTAAAGCCAAGAATCTCGCACAGTTTATCCTCCATCGCTGCGTTCGTGCCGCGCAACTTCCTCACGACTCGACCGCTCCACTCGAAATATTCCCTCACCCTAACTTCGTCCCATCCTTCCGGTGTGCACCGTTTCAAATCCCTCAGATTGTACAACTTGTCCGCCAATTTCACGAGTTTCGCTTCTTTGCTGGACGACTGCGCGTTCATCACCTGCAGCTCCTTTCGCTGCATCTTCGACAAACTCTTATCGTCCGTCACCTCCGCGACGACGTTCCTCACCTCCACACCGAAAATCGATTCGATCTCATCCAGAGACGTGTCCGTGTCTTCGACGGTGTCGTGAAGGATTGCCGCTTGAATTACAACTGGATCCCAGATACCGGCCTCTTCGGTTAATATCTTTGCAACTCCTGACGACGAGAAATATAGGTTATGATTTGCAAAGAGCACATGGACAATTTCTTTTTTCTGTTACCGATCGGATGGTTGATGTACGGCGTCTTCTCCGCATCCTTCCTCCTCTGATCTTTATGCTTAACTGCTGCGAAATCAACGCACTTGATTATAATCTTCATTACCTCCTCTACATTAGCCATTTCGTCTCTCCGTCTATCTGCACTGCTTCACGCTTTAATACATCAGATGAACTTTTTACGTGCGGTGTATCAAAAAAATGTGTAATTGAAATAATAAACTGCAAGGATGAAATCATAATAATTTATTTTAATACAAAATGAAACACCCACAAGTACGGAAGATGATATTTAAAAAAAAAACACGCAATCACAACTCCTCCTTAACGTTGGCCGCCGGCGCCGCCGTTCCCCGACCGCCCTTGATGTACTGCTTCAAGTCTTCGGGGGTGCGTTTCCCCGTGTAATCCTCCACGTATTTGCCGTCCTTGAAGAGCTTGATCGTCGGGAAACCGGAAATCTCGTACTCTTCCGTCACCTCCGGATTGGTCGTGCAATCGAGCACCGCGAACTTGCATTTGACGCCCTCCGCCGACAACTCGTCCGCCGCCTTCGCGTAATCGGGCTTCATCTTCTTGCAGTGGCCGCACCAAGGCGCGTAGAACATCACCAGCACCGGCTCCTTGGACTTGATCTGATTCTTGAAGGTGTTGTCGGTCAGCTGGACCACTTTGTTCGAGTCCAACTTCCATTCCTCTTTGCTGCTGCTCTTCGCGGGACTCGCGAAAGCCTCCGGATCGGACATGTACTTAATAAAGTCAGTCTCCTGAAACGTACGATAAATAAACACAAAGTTCAATGCTTATTCGATTTATGTAATAATTTAAACTTACGGTACGACCTCCGCTGTACTGCCTGACGACCTTCGAATAGTAACTAAAGTATTTGATCGTGGGATAACCGCGTATTTCGTTGGCGCTGCAAAGACCTTGCTCCGTTGTGCAGTCGACAGCAGCGAACTCCACTTTAGGATCTTCAGCAAAGTGATCGGCGGCTTTGCTGAATTCCGGTTTAGCCTTCTTGCAATGTCCGCACCCTTCATTTGTAAAAACCATCATTAATATTTTCGATACCTAAAAAATCAACATTCAAATAACTTACATGGGGCGTAGAACATGACCAAGACGTGCTTCTTCTTCTTGAGGAACGGCTTGAAATTGTCTTCGTTCAGATGAATGACGTTGGACACTTCCTCCACCCAAGGCGTTTCCGGTTTCGGTGGTGGCGGCGGCGCCTGCGGATTCCTCATGAACGACACGATCTTCGGGGCGTCCCGCACGTTCACGTCGAACTTCATCTCGCCGTAACTGAAGTACTTGACGGTCGGATATCCTTTGACCGAGAACTTCGTCGCAACGCTCTGCTCTTTCGTGGCGTCAACGGCAGCCAGCATACCGGGAATCTTCAACGAAATGATATCCAATTAAACGTAATTAGTACAATACATTGCTTGGAAATATCTTACGCCTTCGGCCTTCAATTGAGCTGCTGCGTTCTCGTACTCGGGCTTCATCCTTTTACAGTGTCCGCACCATGGGGCGTAGAACATCACCAAAACGGATGCCTCCTCCTTGAGCACCGGATCAAAGTTCGTCGAAGACAGATGAACGATTTCGCTGTCCGTGTCCGACCATTCCGGCTCCTTGATCTTCGCCGGAGCGGCTTGCGGGTTCTTCATGAAAGCCACAATCGCTTGCTTATTGTTATCACCCTCGTAGGTGAACTTCAACACGCCGTGTCTGAAACGTCGCAAACGTTACCATCGCGTTTTTTCTTATAGAAAGATAACTCACTCATAGTAGAGCAACGTTGGGAAACCGGTAATATTGTATTGAGTCCTGATCACAGTATTTTCCGGTCTGTTCACGTCGATCGCTGCCAGCACCGCTTGGCCCTGCAGATCAGCGGCCGCCTCCGAATATTCGGGCTTCAGATTCTTGCAGAAACCGCACCACGGGGCGTAAAACATGATCATGATGGGCTTCGTTTCCCTCCGGATAAATTTAGCCAAAGACTGAAACAGAAACCAATGCAATTACTAATCTCCCCCACAATTAAACGTAAAATGGGACACTTTACCCACAACATTTTCAAATAATTCGAATTTTGAGCAGTTCATACAAAATTTTACCAAATTAATTTCGCGACATTTCAACTGACACTAACAAGTTTGATTAATTCAATTGACACTCACGGCTGCATCAACGATGTGCTGCACATGGACAGACGTTGGATCCTCCTCCCAAGGCAAATCTCCCAACGGATCCCTCATAAAGTTCACCATCGAATTGACAGCCTCCTTCCTATCGTAATCCTTGTTGAACTCACCATCCTTGTAATGTTTTAATATGAAAGGCTCTGGCTGCACCTTCAACTTCTTGCAGAGTTTCTTAGCCTCGCTGCAATCAATCAATCATAAATCCACTCAATATTTTTCATTTAAATTACCTGGAGCAATCAATGAGGACCATCGTGCCTAGCCCCTTAACTACATTGGCCGTTTCTTTGAACACCTTGATAATATTATTGTTGTGCTTCAGACCGTTGGTGAAACATATTAATACATTGGTTTTTGTGCGCAGTATCTTCTTGTACTCCTTGATCTCATTTATCCCATCGACGACCACATTTTTCCCATTGTTTTTGGCCAAATGGTAGGCGGGAATGTGCACCAGGAAGACCTTTTTTTGTAAATTTAAAGAAAACAAAACATGAATTATTATTATGAACTTTTCTCTATGCAGGGTAATTGCACTCACGAATGCCAAGATCCAATTCAATTTGAGATTCATTTCTTATCCTATTGACTACGACTATTCAAAAGAAAACTTCTTATGGGAACAGCAGTAGGCTGCCCACATATCCTACGTTTGCCACACAAACAATTGCCGGTCACCACCGTCTGCCGCCGGCTCTCCGGAAGTGTGTCAAAACAAATCGATAGGCAGATTTCGTTACAACCACTCTTCCTCTCTCACCCATCCATCTATTGGAAAATAGCAAAGTCATCTCATTTATATACCAAAGATTATCCAACAAACACTAATCAATATCAAACACCAATAATTTGACTAATTTAATAATTGTTTAAAAAGAAAAAACACATATACCATGTACGAAGAGTTGCTACTCTCATATTTTATTAAATTTTGTTATAAAATCTTATTTATTGCCACTATTTATTTATATAACTATATTAATAACGATAAAATAATAATTATTCAATTAAATTTAATATTAACACAACTTAACTAAATTTTTAAATTTAAATCACCTTCAAAAATATTCCCATAGATGTCGCGAAAGTGCTACAGTTTCCGGTATTTAATTATAGCCTTATTTAGTAATTAACAATTAACGAAATTTTCACCTTCATCGTGGCAGCAAAGCTATCTATATAATTTTCAAATCGTTTTATCATTATCCAAGATATTCACGTTTAATGAAACTTAATTAGCGACACCTGCAGGAGGATTTTAGTAATACTTCAGATTTTTCAAAAATTTGAATTTAATTAATTGTTAATTATCATTAATTCGAGCGTTAAAGTGTTTACAAATTAATTCTAATGATTTGAAAGGGAAATGGTATAGAAAACTAGTCGAAGGAAAGGAAAAATAAACAAACTTTTCAATTATATTTATAATAACAACAAATTTATTTTTTTCCACAGTTTTTTTTTATATATATATATATACTTTTATACACCATTAAATGTTTTTTTCTTTTCATTTCAATTGATCAACAGTTAATTACGCGTACTCTGCTTTGTTCTCTTTACAATGTAACCGTTATACAATACAATAATAATACACATTAATAAAAAATCATTTTCTTTTTCCCCTTTTGTTAAATATACATTTATATAATTTATTAAACATTGTCTCGTTCGTGTGTTTCCTTAGGCATCGAAACAGAAAATTACAAAAGGAAAAAACACACATTGTTAAATAGTAATGAAACAGATCAATTCTCTCGTTCTCGATTTTTTTTTTGTGTTTCGCGCTTTTGATTGTCACTAATTAATAGACGTACAGAGTTGTATACATGCACATACGCATATATTCTTCATTTGTTTCTTTTCTCTCTAATCAAATACATCGAGTAGGCTTATTTCATCCATCTAATATTATATTTATATAAAATAAACGACGACAGTTATTTGATTATTTCGTTTTTCTTTTTTGTTTTGTTTGTCTTTGCTTTAAAGTTCTTGGGGTCGAAAGTAAACGCATCTAGGAAAGAGTAAGACGAGTAAGATTTTCTTAAAGATATGTGCCCTTAGTCCTTCTCAGGGGTAGTTAGTATAATGTAAAAAAGTACATCAAAAGAGGTTGTTTTTTTTTGTTTGTTTGATTGTTTTTTCCTCGCGTGGATTCATCATTTGTTTTCTTCTCATTAGAATGCAGTGAAATATGCAAAAAAGTGTAAATAGTTTTCATCCAAAAGAGGTGGTAGTTTTGTTTCGTTTTTGTTTTCACGTGAATGCTTTTATTTGATTAATTCAGATTTTGTTTTTATTTAGTTTAGAGGGCGCGTGTGTCGTGGGTGTCTTGATGTTTTAGGTGTGAGAGAGTGGGTGCAAACATCAACAGCAACGCGTTGAACTTTTGATAGCATTTTCTTCTTTTTGGATGGTTTAGGTATCACATTTAATAATCACGACTACATTAATATATATATATTATAATAACATTTTTTTTTCTCTTAATTTCACGTTTATACTTGCTAGAACAATTTTTTTTTCCGCTTACATCCGCGGGTTTTTAGAGCCATCAAAATATTTACCTTTCAGTGTGTGTGTGTATATATATTCATGATTTTTTTACCTTTGCTTCTTCTTCGTCTACACATATTTCTTTTGCGTGCAAATCATTTGAGATCCGCAATTCTCATGTTTCCGGCGCAGCGGAAGACATAATTTGATCGTCGATTGCAGTCTCATCGTTTGACTCCCTCTGAAGCGAATTCATCAGCTCCTCGTTCTCTTTACGCACTGCAAACACCAAAAACAAAAAAAAACAAACACAACAAGATGAACGCACGCACCTACTGAGTTTAACTTGTTAATTAGCATAATAACCATAGCGACGAGTATACTTTGTCATGGGTTTGTTGTTACCATGGGGATGATGGGTGACAGTGACTGATTCTGTGACGTGACGCGAAATTACGTTTTCAAGGGATATTCGTTTTAAGGGATGAAAATTTACTAAGTGAAATGCAAATCCGTTGTTTGCTTTACAAATTCCGTCGCATAATCGAGCGGCTGTGAAATAATTGAAGCCAAGGAATTAAAACGTCAGCTCTCTTGTTTTTTCTTTTCTTTTCTTTTGTTTTTGCAGCAGCAACTTTGTCGTCTCCGTTTGTAAACAACGTTGTCGCAACTCTTCGGGAAAGTTTTGCGAATTAATTCGGTTTGGACCGTTGGGGTGTAAGAGATATAAGTACGACGGTCGGGGGGAGCAGCAGCCGCAAAATCGATACTTTACGTCCCATAAATCAGCAGTCTTTTGTTCGGCGCGATATGGAAAGAACAAGTGAAGAAGAAACGAACAAAACGAAAAAGCATCGTGAGATTGATTATTTCGTAAACGAAAGTCAATATGACTTTAGTATATTTTTCTTTTCTTGAGCGAGACGAGATAGTGTACGAGATGGATGAGGAAAATCCGTTTCACGAGTATTTAACGCTTCGAAAATGGGTGTTTAATGATGTGTCATGATGGATGGACGGAGCGCGGTTATTATCGGTGATGTGTCAGAAATCGAAGACGGCTGCTGTTTTATTTCAGAGCCGCATTTGATTCTTTTTATTGATACTCAACAATCGCGTTTATCGCCTATAAAGTTTCGTTTATGATTTCGGCTTTGCGTCCAAGAATATCAATTAAATTTATTATTATCGATTTCGATGACTTCAATTCAACTGCTAACTGCTTATTTCCAACATGCAATAGCTTAATTAATTGAAAGAAGACTAATTATTGTCTATTGGTTTTAAGAGTGTGTGTTTGAAGATTGACTGTTGATCTTAAGTCATGAAAGTTAAGCTTACTTACTATAGGTGAATGAAGATATGTACGTACCCATATCGTCGATGAGCGGAGCCATTCGAAGCGTGACTCCGACGAGCATGAGACACATGAAGAGTAGAAGACATGCGGTGGCGATGATGGTCCACTTCGCTCTCTGGGGAAGCTCATCCGGATCTATGACCTTCACGTTTTCGACGACGGCGACGGCGGAGGCCATCTGCGCCTTCATCCTACGTCTCCGCTTCCTTCGTCTTCGTCTCCTCATCCTCCTCGCGCGTCGCCGCTCCGCCTCTTCCTCCTCGTCCAGCTCCAGGTCATCAATCTTCAGCGATATGTAGTCTCTGTCCTCGTAGCTCGCAGCCGGATTGATCCTGCCATTATATTATCGAAGAGATATGCCAATAAGATTAGTTCATCTTAAATGTTAATCACTTACACTTCGACGACGTCTTCGCCGCAGAAGCAAGGAGAGTGTAGGTAAGCTTCGTCTTCGTGCAGTAGCGGCCTCGCTATTCCCACCCCGTACCTGGGACTCTCCGGTGAAGACGTCGAAACGCGTTGCTTGCTTCTCGCTGCATTCAAAAAAAACCATAAACATCAATGACGATTAATTCTCATTCAATGTTAACTTCTTACATGTTTTCTTGTATTTGATGGGCTCGTGTTTCCTTCGCTTCCTCTTCCTGTCGCTGCTGTCCTTCCTCTTGTTCGGCGAGGACCAGATGGAGGAGGCCAACCGTTTGTTGCTCTTCTCGTTCTTGATCGCCTCCACCTTGTGCTCCACCAGACCGTTGAGTACCGCCTCGAGACGCGCCACCTCCAGATACGTGGCCGTTAGAGGTTCCAGGTATTCGTCCGTCGCCACCGATTTATCCTCCATCTCTGCTGCTTCTGCTGCTGCTGCCTCTTCACCACCTCATCCACGCGACCATCTCAACTGCAAAATACAATAATTCGTGCGCAACAATGTGCAGAAGAGGAATCAAACCAGAAATAGACTTTAATTGTCCCAGCTATTTTTATATCGAGACTTTTGCTTGTTTACATTAAATCGTTTCGACGTAAACAGCAGAAGCGAAGATGATGATGATGATTAAGAAGAAGATGAAATTTGTGAGCGTAATAGTATAAGAAAAAAAATATAAATCTAGGCGCCCGGTAAACAAATGGTCGAATTACCGAGGCGCCTATAAATACCATAGAAACAGATGTAAATAAGAGGGAGGATCATGAAGACGTCTTCGTAGCAACAGGCGACGCGACCGATCGACACACATTCTCATCCCCTTTGCTTATAGAAATATGTATGTGTACCTTTTTTTTTTTCTCTCGTTCTCTCCACCGTTTTGGTGAACCTCCACCACCTCATTCATTTATTATGAAGAGTTATTTGAAAAATCGATTCCCGCATTTCCGTTTCCCTCCTTCACGACCTTCCTTCCTTCCTTTCGCCGGCGTTTTCAACTCTTTCGCGTGATTTGGGGCGATGCGTCCCTGATATTAGTTAGTTTGCGTTCCTTCTGGCGAGAGACGCGCGCCCGACGTGCAACAGCATCTCCCGTCGGATTCACACCGCGAACTGGACGTCTCCCACCCTGTCTGGGTGTTTCAGGCGTCGCGACGCACACGCCCAGACGCGACGGCGTCGATTTAAAGACTCCACACGCTCGCGCGCCCCCGGTTGCATAATCAATTTGCACGGCACGCTTTTTAATTAATTTACACAATTATTATTATTTAAACAAACGCAGCGTATGTATTTACTATTTGCGTAGCCAACTGAACTTTATATAACAGCGGTCGGGAAACTTTTTTAACCATTACCCCAAAATATTATTGCGTAAGTCGATATTAAACCCCCACCCCCATTCTGAATTCATGAAACAATCAATGTAAATTTTAAATAAACATTATTTATTGAATTAATTTGCATTTACATATTTATATAAAAAAAAAGTTACATGAAAATAGTAAACAAATAGTAATAGACAAACAAAATAAAATTCTTAAATTGGAACAAACCAAAAATTAATTGAAAACTTTCCCCCTTCAGGTTTTTGGAAACATGATTGTTGCTTCATGTTTGATATAATTACTTCAAAATTGGGACTTTTTGATGTTAGGGAAATTTGAATACAGTTTTCGGCGTTTAATCGATTTCTGTTTTTCGTTTTTATGTTCATTAGAGTGGAAAAGCCTTGTTCACAAAGGTAGGTTGTTGCAAATGGCAGCAATTTTTTACCGCCTCCTCATGTGCAATTTTGAGAGCCTTTGCAGCCTTTGACAACCAAAAAGACGACAGATTTGCTTTGGTCTCAAATTGAATACGTGCTTCAGTATTGGATGGAAGTTCAAGAATTACCTCTGCCAAACCTGGAGGTTCTTCTGGTATGTTAGTAATTTCACATTTAAAAGGATCTACAACCCAATTCACAGTTTGTACATCAAGATCTGAAAAGTAGTCAGAAAACCGCTCTCTGAGTTTGGTAAGATGAAATTAGAAAAAAATTCCCTATTACACAAAAAAAAATCATTTTTACCCCATTTTGGGTAATTTACCCCGGTTCCCCAACCGCTGTTATATAACTACAAATTACACTACAGTCTTGTTACTTCTACTTTGTCAATTAGTATATTTCAGAGCTATGAATAAGAGGAATGGACCGGTTGCGTTCAAAAACTGTAAATTTCTGAAGCTTCTTTATTATATTTGTTTTGTTTTAAACAGTCTGAAACAATCAATTGGGATGTTGACAGTAAACAGCCTTGTCTGTGACTTTCATGATCCAATCCAAGTAATTGCCGAGTCTCACGTAAGCGCTTGGCACTTTGGGAGAAGCGCAGCCCTCACCCCAAGAAACGACTCCTGAAACAAACACCGTCAAAGTATTGAATCAAAGTGTTAAATATTTGCGTTCGCAAATTACCGATTTGGGTGTATTGCAATGGGCTGGATTCCATGAAGATCGCCGATCCGCTGTCGCCCTACAAAATCGTAAAATTAGGTGTAAAATTTGAGAATGATTTTGAAGATAAACCTGGCACGAGTCCTGCTTGTAACCGTAAGCGCACAAGTTGTACTCCTGCACGAATTTCCTGCCGATCTGCGATTTCCTGCAGACTTCGTCGCTCGTCACCCTGATGTGCGCCTCCATCAATTTCGATGCAACCGTTTTGTTCTCGGTCATTCCCCAGCCCGCCACGATTGCATTGACGTTGGTGTAATCGACGCCTTCGAACAAATAAGACAACTTAAAAGTTGAAATACTAAATCTGCAGCAATTGTACCGGCTTTAGTTAGGCAAATCGGTAAGATCTTCTCGGACATCGTGACCGGTTTCTCCAACTCGATTAAAGCCAAATCGTTCTGATCGTAGCTCGAGTATCTGATGTAATCCGGATGAATGGCAACGTCTTTCGCTTTCAGCGAAAGATCCTTGTCGTCTTTAAGAGCATCCGCGCCGAGAACCGCGACAATCCTCTCTTGGTTTAATCTGCAAAAAGAAGCGTTAACAACAATTTCGTGATAAACTATTTGCGAAATAGTGACCCGAAAACGCAATGCGCTGCAGTCAATATGAAGCGATCGTTGATGAGCGATCCTCCGCAGTACGGTTTGTCCTGGTACTTGAGGTACACGAGCCACGGATAGGCGTGCGGAGAAACGTAAGCTCCATTTATGATTCTAGTCTCTATTTCCGGCGTGTTTCCCTGTCCGCAAACTACGAAACAAAAAAAAATTTAACTTCAAACCTTCTTCGCTTCCACCGTTGATAATTACAGCAGTCCTTGGATTTCGCCGCCGCCGCCTACGGAAATTACAAAACTATAAGATTGTTAATTCGTGCAAACTGTTACTTTACCAGAGCAACCAAAAATGGGAGCAGAAGAAACGTTGCGGTCCGCATTTTCGTGATCCTGAAAGGCTAATGCCGCAAATCGCACTCGCTTTCTTTAAACAAACGTAATTTTATTTCATTTATTTTTCTCTTTCAATTACAGTTTTCCGTTTCTCAAACAATCGATTTTGTATTATTATTATTATGTTGTTATTACTATCATTAATATAAAGTTTAATACATTCGCAACGCTTAACTGCAGACGAGACAATGGGCCAATTTTCAATTGGAATTGTGTTTCTTGTGCTTGTGGTGGTGTTTCCTCTTCTTTCTGAACTCGATGATTATTTTCTTTGGGTGCCAATATCTGTTGGGTCTCCTATGCGTCGTATACACTGAAACGAAAATTCAGTCTATCTTCAATTAAACTTTTCGGGTTGTCTGCCCCCAGAAAATTTTTCGTGGACGCCTATGGACTGAGTGAAAAGTCAAATATCTTACGTCAATTAAAACCTTTAAACGTTTAAATTTTTCTTATACATTTTTTTAATGATATTGAAGCAATTTATAACAATTGTGGGAAAAATATTGAAATTTTCATTCAATTCTATACTTGCTAGGAAAGAGTGCTATAGGTTTTATAATAAGCAATAATAATAATTGATTATTGCAATTTCTATTCAAGTCGAACATATCATCATGTGCATATTCAAGCTCTAAGCTTGTATTGTATTTGAATGAATTAGCAATGTTTTATATATCTGCTTCTGATAATCATATTGTATTTTTAATGCCGTTGCGTTTCGATTACTTAGGAGCTGAGAAGCGGCAAGTAGCAAGTTAATTTGTAAAGTATGCCTAAATTATGTCACAATATCACGTATTGTTCTAAATTGCTTCAAGAATTATTAAAATACCGATTACTTAGGAGCTGAGAAGCGGCAAGTAGCAAGTTAATTTGTAAAGTATGCCTAAATTATGTCACAATATCACGTATTTTCTAAATTGCTTCAAGAATTATTAAAATATGTGTAA